GCTCTTCTTAATGTTGCCAATGCAACCGCAACAATGGTGCTCTTAATCTTCAGTAAATAGTAATTAATCCATTGGCTCGTTTGTCACCTTGTCTCATAAAAACTTCTTATTGTAACAATTAACGCTACTTCAATGCTTTGTATTTGTATTATGTAATGGCTTAGGTAGTTCGAATGACCACTGCGACAATCAGCCCGATTCGAAACAATTATCTGCGAGTCACACAAATGGCTGTCCCGTGTGGGAATCGAACCCACGACTATTTAACAATATATTTATTACAATAGAGTAAGTAGTTGGGTAAATAAACATGGGAAGGGAAAAAAATTAAAATTTCCACTGTCACATGTGAGCCGAATTGTGTAATTTTTAATCAATTGCCACTGCGTTATATTTTTAGTCAGAAGTTCAACTATGTCAAACATTCGAGAAGTTTAATTTAAGGTGTCTCGATTGTCTATCGAACATCAATTCCCTACTGTGTCATGGACTGTAGAGCCTCGACGTAACGACACTTTAATGTTTAAACTTCTGGATTTAATGTTGTGAAGTTGCTGAAGATCGACAGGTGTCACATCTCTAATATTAAGTTCGTCTTTACGTAATATATATTAGGTTCTTCCGCCTGCTTCAAGGGGTTAGATAAATCGGAATCACGTTACATTATATGCCTGTACAAATCTAGAACTTTAATAACGTTTAATTTGTTAGAACTATATATCTTTCTCAAAATAATTTTCTACTAAGTACTCCTAGTCACTCCTCTTCCTTCTATGCTAATTCTTTTACGGCTTCTGCTATACGTCTTTTGAATTCTCTTCCTTTAGATATAAAACAATCTAAATCTCTTCACATTTTTAAAACTAAATTAAAATGTCATTACCTATCCTCTTAATATAAGTATATATAATATATATATATATATATATTTCTGTGTATTTACTTTTCTTATTATTTATTTAGTACATCCTGCCGATTTCTTCTTTTAATGAATCTTCTGCCCTAAGGTTGCCTGGAAGAGTTCGCTGTTTTAGCGATAAGGCCGCCCGTTGTACACATAGGTATAGGTCTTTAGTTATAAATCCTGTATTTCTATTGGTGTACAATAAAGTATATTTTACTTTTCCTTTTATCTTGTCATATTATGGTAGTCAACATGCAGACATGTGTGACGTGTGTAACTACATCAAACTTAGCTTTGTTTATAACGTACCCCACGTTACTTAGGAACAATGCAGGTTTCCATTAGTCACAAAAATCGGTTAATTTTACCCAATACATAGAGAAAAAGACAGTTAGACAAACAATTTAACTGTTTTTTATTTACAATTCAACTGTTATTTAGCCCAATTCTTGAAGTTTTATAGGGTATTTAACATCACGCTTCGACCTACGGGGGAAGCAGAAGTGTTTCTCGCGAATGAAATCGTTTGGAATAACTAGCGTAATATAAAATAGATATGTTATGATACCGCACCGTTTTATTTGTGTGATATCAACATTTAAGTACAAGATACACTTCCTACTAGCCTCTAATCATCGGAAAGTTTACATTAAAACTTTCCTGCTTGTTCTTCGCAAATTTACTAATATTAGTTTAAACTACATCGAATGTTTTAGATAATCAATGTTCAAAAATATTTCTCATAATATCGTATATTATTATATAAGTAATATTAAATTGTTTTGTTTCATTATCAAGCAGTCTGTTGAAATATTTATTAATATGAGTATATGTTTAAATATTATAGCGTTTTGTCCTAATATATTTAAACGTAATGTTGTTCCTTCAATTCCATTTTTGGCTGTTTAACTTTCTTTTTCCGTTTGTCTTATTCAGTTGCGGGCGAATAAAAGAAATCGCGCGTTTAAGATTGTTGACAAGTGCAACGACTTCGCAACTTGAATTTCTTCCCGTGGAAACTTTCGCAACTTTATTTATGTTGTTTTAGCGTACGTTGAGGTTTTTAACGTGACGTGAAACATTATAAGTTTGGTTACGGCGCGAGTATCGATGGTATTTCTCTTAGTTATTTTCTTAGACTGGCGTGAATATAAACGCTAAATGTGAAATGGATTTTCGTGCGATTCTCACCCTGGGCCTTTTAGAATTACCTAAGAAAACGGGAAACGTGTCTTTTAAGTCGGTCGAGGCGGTAAGAAAATTCATGTCCGCATGTTTTTGGATAAGCAATTCGTAAAAGGAGCCCTATTTCCCGCACATTCAGTCGTCCGGGCGTTCGTAGCAAGTGTCGATTGTGAAGCACATTCGGACAACGTTCCCGCCCAGGGTTGGTCGCGCGGAACGTCTGCTAGTGATTGCGTCGACCACCTCTACTTGGCCTATCGATATCGACAATGTATCGCTCTTAAATGTATTCGTTTGATTCTTAAACAAAGCTACTATTGTCACTAAAGACTCAGCCGATATAACCTATTTAGTAGTTCATCACATATATGAATTTATAACGCTTGCAACTGTTATATTTTAGTTATAAATTTTAGCCCCGTGCAGGGAAAACAGGGGAAACAAGTTTAAAAACTATCCCAATTGTTATGTACATAAATGTCGTCGTTGCTGGCACCACATATATTTATTAAGGATCGTATATTTTCTTCCAGAATAAATTTCTATCGATACTATCGACATTCAACACGTACAGCACAAAATACAAAGAGTTGCCCAGTGAATCGTATCAGCCTCTCCTCGGCATTCCACCAAATTGATTTATAGTTTCATATGAAAATTGCGTCTCACGCAATCCTAACATCGTATTAGGCATTGCTAATAAGAGCTGTGCGCTCCCCCAGCCCCTTTGATCCCTCGCGAGCCTTCCTCCTCTCTATTTTTGTTTATGGCTGGGATTAAAAGGGAACCCGCTTTCACTTCTTTTGGAATTACTTATTTTTTCCGGTCGTATTAAGACGGCCAGGGCTCTACATGCGAACGTTTTCCTGTTCAATAAAACACCGAATTTATTGTAAGCGCGAGTAGGTAAGCTTTTTTACTACACGCGTTGGCTACTCCGGCCTACGGTTTCTGCATTAAAGAGTTCTGATTGCCACTACACGAAATGATACTTAGATATACATTCACAGCAAACACATCAATATTAAGAGCTTAATAAGCTTCAAAGCTGGTGGTGACATACGTGATAACTATGAAACGAGATAAAAAATCTAAGCTTACCTAATTGTCACAGAGAGCAAGGGGACTTTCTCCTATTAGTACCAATGCATCAATTCAGTTCAAATTCATACATTTTTATATGCGATAGTACTTTTTCTTCATGTGAAAAGTTGTCAAGCGGTCATGCCATGACTATCTACAACACCAAATAGCTTGCAGATGCGTTGAAAACTTTTAAAAAGTTTAGGGAAAGTTGTTGCTGGTATTTAAAAACGTGTAGATATTCTGATGCCGCTACAAGTGTTTAGAGCGTCGTAGCGTCGTAACGTATTCAAACTATAACCGGCCCAACGTACAGCTACGGAAATAGCAATAACCACTTAAGAATATTGAGAGGCGTAAAGAGTTCAATACTCCCACTCCACTCTTATAAACGGTACAGATGGCAGGTACGATCGCGCGATTAATCATACATGGGGTATTTCGGATATCGCCTTTTAATAAACTAATTTCCTTCGTATATGGCTTAAGTGCATTGTATGTTGTTATTGTGTGTGCCATTGCAAAACACATGATGATCTTATCCAAAGAACGGAAAAGAGTTAAAAAAGCGTGTATCCTTTCTGCAGGAATGAATGCAACAGTTTTTATTACCTGATTTATAAGGGTTTATTTTTTACGCGGATACCGCACTGGCCGCTATTCCTTGACCAAGGTTTCAAACATTTAGAACTTAAATTAAAAAAAAAATTAAAAGTTATAAACTCCGTAAATACCTATAGGTTAATTTAGCAATACTATTATTTAACATTATCGATATCATATCCTTATAAAACTTATTCGTGTACAAGATTGATAGTGAAGAATCAGTACCACTGAAATGTGGTATTTTCGGGGCCAATGTGATCGAACGCTAGGGATTGAAAGTACGAAAAGACGTGAATTAAGAATTGAGTAAATTGTTTCAATGTAATTAGACTTAAAAACTATCCGTGGTTTTAATTGATATAATAATAACCTTGGAACTTTTTAAAAAGAGTAACTGGCATTAAGATTTCTTGATTTTATATCTCAGTTACTCGACGCTAATTGTTCTAACAGTTTCGCAATAAAACTTTAGAAGCCTTAAAGTCGTTTGTTTTATTAACACTTGAATAAAGTTCTGCTAAAAGTTTGCAATCGCTTTATTAGGTACTTACCATACGATATTGAATCGGTTCTTAAAATTAACTATTATATTCTAATTAATTGTTAGACTGTTCGAAATGTAAACTTTTAATCTCCTCACTGCCAATATTGTCGACAAACAAAAAATTAATAAATATTGGTGGCTGATGTACTTTTAATACTACTGCATCGCTAAAGATTTAATCCAAACTCTGTTTTGTAAATGTCCCATTTCTGTGTATCAGATGTCAGATAAGTTTGTATGGTTTATTGTCTATTATTTCCATAATACGCGTTAAATGTAAACTCTTATGTTCTATAAAAATCTTTATATCGGCGCTGTAAAATTTTAGCTTTAAGTCCTGTAGCTGTTTCTGGAAGTCGCTAACTTTACTGCAACAACAACACGTGTGCAACGGAGAAGTAACTTAAAATGCACTTAAACTCGTTGGCTGCGTCGATTGCGATCGAGTGGAATTACTCCGCCGGCTCTAAACCACTACTGATTTACGATACATTCTCGTTGGTTTAACTGTTGGCTCGCTCTTTGTGGTTTTATGATTACTTTATGAGTAATCCATTGCAACTGACAGAATGACATAAACCTCGGGGTGAAGATGAAAGTCTTAGTACGCAACAGAAGCAATTAATAACTTACTTCAGCGCAATTTAATTACAATTACACTTGTACAAATATATTTCAATGAGGGCTCAAGATTTGTTAAAACCGAAAGCTCCATCAACCGGCCTCCCGGGTACTGTGAAAAAGCCGCCCTCCGCCGAGAACCAAAACACGGGCCAGCGGAAACTGCGTCGGTGCAGGGCGGGCGGCGTCGCGGCGGCAGTCGACCGGCGGACGCCGCGCGCGACGCACGTGCCGCCGCGCCATGTGACGCTGCCGGCCGCGGCCGCCATGACCGAGGGGGCGGGCAGGCCTCGGCCGGCGCCGCCCCGCAAGCCGGACTCGCTGAGCCTCGCGTGGCCGCGCTGGGACGACCCGCCGCCGCCGGCACCCGAGCCAAAATCAAACCCCACCGCGATCGCAGAGGACTTCGGCGGCTTCGCGCCCTACTCGCCGTACTCGCCGCCGGCGCCCATACAGACCGAGAGGCGCCCCAGGAGGCCGCAGAGCGTCGTCTCCCCGCGACCACAGATCCAGCTGACCAGGCGGCCGCACTCGATCGGCTCCATAGACGATGAGTGGTCCGGTCAGATCCTGCAGCCGGTGCCGCGGCGGCCGCGGCCCGTGCCCATGTCGACGTTGCCGCGCGCGACCTTCATGCCGTCCTCGAGGAGTGATTACCAGTTGCCGCGGCCCGCGATTATGACGAACGGCTACGGCGCCGTGCCGCCGGCGGCGTCGAGGCGGCTCTCTTTGCCCGGCTGCGGCGTGCAGAGCGCGCCCAAGCCCTCGGCGACCTTCCACGGCCTCTCGGGCCTGATGGGGCAGCACCCCACCCTGGGCACGCCGCTCACGCCCAGCACCCCCGCCGCCGTCAGGGAGGCCGTCCGCCATCTCCTGCAGCAACCAAGGAATGGCTTCCCCATTATGGACCACAAGTTGTCGCTCTTCATCGATATCCTGGACGCACAGGAAAAGTTTTCACAGGTGACGACGTTATTACAATGACAAACATCTCTCAAGTCGATTCGAATTGATTTCGTTTGATTTAATAGGTTTATTATTAAAAAAGAGGAATGGTACTTAACAAAAATGTGTAAAAGTTTTCTTTAACAGTTCAACTTCTAACACTTATTCTTTATTTCACGTCTTTAAAAGTCTGAGCCATCGAGCTGCAGCACCTCAGTAAGCGAGATTAAAAAGAACTTAAACCGTAATAAAGTATATTTTTTATTCAGACGTGCTCCAGATTTTGACACCAATATTTCATAATGACATTTATTGAAATATGTTCAAGTAATACATAAATTTGTCATAACAATAAGTTTTTAGAGTTAAAATGTTTAGAAATTAAATTTATGTATGAAAAACGTCAGGCGTTTCCTACCCTTCGGATCCCATCTAACCTCGTTTTTCTAAACATATGTCCGCTAACTGAGTTGTCTCACTAGAATCGACATAAGTCTTTATGGAATATGTAAACCGCTCACAGAGCGAGCGAAAATGATTCTGAAAGCTTGAAAATTATATACATGCGCTAATTAAACGTTGTGATCAATCGAACTGGCCAACTTACAACTATCTAGCTAGACCTGAGGAAGAGTAGGTGCAACCACCTGAGTGTCTTAAATGAATGTCGAAAACTGATCATTTCAATATTTCGTATGTTCATAGACTTTTTTGAAGGTGGATGGGTCTTTTCAGGAATAATAAAATAAATAAACACGATTTCGAATTATAAAACACTTAAAAATCATTATTTAATCACTTACGGGATTTCTGCCGTAACTTTAACCGTCTCTTATTGCCTATCAGGGCGTTAAATATCGAAACTCACCGAGAAACAATAAGAGCTTCCGTTCGACGGCCGATTCGCCGAATTCGCTGCGAATTGAAACAATAACGAGGCGTTTTCGAATAACGTTTATCACCCGTTGTCTTTCGGTGCACGGTAATTGAATACTCGATGGCTTTTCATTCATTCATAACGCCCCACAGTAGCGGTCGCTTCATGTTAATTCAGATATGACAGATTTTTATGGTTAGCAGTGCATTGTTTCGTTTTCCTTTTAATTAATTTAAATAAACGTAGTTAAAAAAATCTTTAGAGTATACATAGATAGAAGATTATACAAAATTAAAGTGACCTGTTTTGGGAAGGTTTTCGTTTAATTATTAAAAAGTTATGTCAGTATGAGATTTCTTTCTTCTTACTATTTTTCTTTTAGTCCAAAATGTTGTGTAAGTTATGGTAGTAATAGAGGCTCAAACGTGGCTGGGTTTACTTTGTCGATGTTACTACTACATTACGATTTCAGTAACGTAATGATAATATGTTCAGGAAATTTTCAATAATTGCCGTTAAGCAGTGTTCACTCACTTTGATTTTTGTATTTAATCTTTATTAACGGATTTTAGGCGAAGCATGCGGATGTTAGAAATGAGCTAAGGGAATGACGGTAACAGTGTAATGTACAACTATACAGCATAAGTTGTCAAGAAACAAACATTAATTACGAGAATGAACAATGCTAGCTTGAAACCGATATTATATCATAATCTTGCAATTAATCCTGTATGTGGCTGACTTGTATTAATAGTCGTACAGTTCGACATTCTTGCATAACGGCGTTCCCACATTTGATTCTGTATTTATTAATCGTGTCCGATAATTCGGAAAGTATTTTTCAGTCGTATACAGGAGGCTTTTCTAAGTGTATTCATTTTTTTTAATTAAATTCTAGACATAATGTTATACAAAAATGATAAATATTTAAAATCACAATTAATTAATTACATTCATTTGAACTTATCTCAAAAAGTGCATGATTTATGGGCAACTCATTTATTTTACGCGCCATCATTCATAACTAACACGCACACAAGTGCGTTTCAAAAGTATACGACGCATTTATGAATGACTACCGCATTGTCAACAATTTAGGGAATAGATTGGCAATTTTTTTGAAAAAAAGTTCGTTTTTATTTCAATAAACGATTATACTACCGAGTCTGAAACTCCTGTGTGAATTTGGACACCTTTATAAAAGCCACCCTGTATACCTTTAAACCCTGACGATATAAACCAATCGTAATATTTCATTAAAATAACCTATAACTTAGCTGTATAGATAACTGGAATTCCGTCTACCGGACCTCACATGAGTTATATTTTATACAAATAAGAGGTAGACTCAAATTACGCCAATTGGTGAAGTTAGATTGCAACTCTATAGACTGCTCTTTCCTTATCATACGACGAGAACTATATCATCTCTTACATTCACTTGTATATTTTATACAGACATAAATATAATATAAAGCGGATCAATTTTTAATGTCGCGTATTATGGACATGCGTCATATTTATTCAAACATCATTGGCACTCACATTATGAGATGATTTGTCTTAGCTGCCACTTTCGTTATGTGTTATTTCAGGCATGTTTCTTTTTTTTTTAATAAATAGTGAGCATACAGATTTGTATAACAAACTGTAACTTATCGTATAGCTATAGAGCTCTATATTTTATCGTAAATTATTTTTAATGTTTTTTTTATGTCGTAAATTATTATATAAGTTGTACAAATTTTATATACAAATATGAATTGAATATTTTCTATATCAACTTAACGTCTTCATTTGAAAAGCGCAGATCTACTGCGCTACTACCTCCGACTAATATCATAGCTATTAGGTCACAATAGCACGTCAAATTGAACAATTCATCGTAACTATGACTAGTAGCAACATGTATGCTACTGCTAGTCACTGTAAAATCTAAAGAATGTTGTCTTTGTGATAATTTCTTAGGTAATCAGGAACACAACACATTATGAAACGAAACTGTTTATGTGGATTTACCGCGTTGTTACTTGAATCGTCAAAGTTTATAGTAAACTCTATATACCCGTAAAATTAGTTACAGATTTATAAAGTAAGCCTTTCATTTACTTATTTTACCTTACAGCGGTGATTTCTGTTCATATTGTCATTCAATTGTATACCGATTCGACATTGGGTTGCGTTTCATTATGTACAGAATAGCTTTATACTTAACAACTGCCACGAAATAAACCTGTGATTTATTTGTGATTTATAAATGCTATTTACTTTGATCTTAACTGGCAATATTTGGTAAGATTTATGATATCTTATTCCATACATCCAATTAGTAATAAACGTCTTGCATAACAGAATTTAATTTACAAAAAAAAAAACAAACTAAAACATTGTTTTCGCTACTCCACTGCTAAGTTCCTCTGTTAAAACTAAAACAATTTTAAGAGAGGAACTCAACAGAGGAGCTTAACAGAGAATACGGTAAAAACTAAAACATTGTTTTTATCGTATGCTGTGTCATAATGTGTAACAAGTCACTTTAAGTAAAAAGTTAGTGTACGACCGTTTATGATATTATTTTTGTATTATTCACTATTTTACAAACATCATTATATTAAATTTGCGCTTATGATCCAAAACATTACTGCAGCAGCAACTCTAACTGTTAGGAAATCAGTTGTCACAGCTCGAAATTTCGGATTGACAGCGACAGAAATCGCAACAATACAACCTACACTTATTTTAAAGCTAAATTCATATAATGTGCGGTATGCTAAGTAAGTTTACACTTTACCTCTCCTCTTGCCTACTCCACTCCACTGCATTACAAAAAGCAAAAACTTATACACGTGCATTACGTAAATGAACTTAATTAAGACTTCCGCATATGTAAATTATCGGTTTTTTGCCTCTGTACACCTTAAACACTTTCCGTAGGGTATGGTTCTGCTTTAAAAGTATCTGTCTTATCTCTTAAGGACAGTTGGGATTTGTTTGATTTAATGTTACCAAGAAAATACGGTTGCTCTAATGTAAGATATCTTCTTTAAATATTGCTCCTTAAATGTTTTAAAACCATTTTAAGCAGTACCTGACAGAAACTTAGTAAATACTTTGAATGCGAAGATTTGTACAAAATCTAAATTAATATTCCTTATTTCCAAAAAAATGTGATAGATGTGTGTCGTAAAATTTTCTTTGGAAGCCAAATTTAAATTTGCAGTAAAATATCTTGCTGCAGTGGCAGCGTCCGGTATGAGAAATTCAGTTATGAATGCCTCGCCACATTTAAATGTAATTTTATTGCAAATATGCACATTCTAAAGTGGTTCATGACTCTTGATTTAACCTCGTGACGGAATGCCTTGTGCAAAGTAAAAATGCCGGAAGTGATTTCACCTCTACGGCGGCTTCAACTGAAATAATTTGAAATACGAGATTTGTTCTTTCTCCAGATTTTAGTTAAAGTTAGTGCTTAAAAAATTCATAAAACATAAGAATTAAACGAATAATGTGTGCCCACTTTGTTGAATTTTATAAGCGAAAACGATAATTTGTCATATAAAATTAATGAAACCGCGAAGCGCCTCTCAACACTTACTTCCGGTACGTTAACCTCATTACCTGGTTACAGAAACCTTTTTAATTAAAAGGATAACACAGCTGTGCTCAATGGTGACGTAAAAGGTCATTAATATCTATAAAACACCACAATGAAAAATACAGGAGGCATCCCATTAAAATATATGATTCAGTCGAAACACTCGCGCGATGAAAGAAAGGCCTACCTACCCTACCCCTCCCCCCGCGTCGTATTGTCGCTATTTCATGGACGCTCTCGTCACTTGACCCCGTTCTTTAAAGCTTTTGTTTCAATATGAAATATCGCCGAAACGAGAAATGTAGAGTACCACCGCGCTGGAACTGGAAACTTGCTTATCTCGCCCGAACGCTTCTTTTTTTTTGTTAGAGTATTTATTCTTTTAATTCCTTTTATTTCCAAACGCTGCGGTTTTGACGTCCACTTCAATTTTGATTCACTTCTGTCACAGTAATGTCCTTGGTCAAACACAGCTAATTAACGTCAAGTTAAGACGATATATTTTTGTTTAAATTATGTAATTTTAAAATTAAGAAATAAAGAATGCAATTTTGTTTATAA